TGAAACATATAGCATTGTTATATATGCACAGAGGCGTAAATTAGTCGAATCAACTTGTAGAAAACGTAATGAAGAATCAACTCCCATGGTCTTTTCTTGTTGTTTAAGATGATATTTTAAAACAAGTTGAATGCAGAACTTTGTGTCCTGAAGAACTGCTTTTCAGCTCGAACTCGCTGCATTCAAAGCATTCTTCATCAGATTATGAGGACGAACTATGCGCCACCTCCTACGTGGGCATTGCGTTACTGCCCTCGAGCATCCGAAGTGTACTTGCATCCGGTGAAGAAAGTAGTTACGACGCTACGCTTTGCGATCGACTGCAAGATGGTTGGTTTTAAAATTAGAATTTTTTCTGTGAATCCAGAAACGTTTCAGATTTTTCTGTGAATCCAGGGGATCGAGGTTTTCCAGAAATTTGGGAAGAAAGGAAAAAATTTTAATGACTAGCCAATAGTCACAGATATTTTAACAGTTTAAATTTGAATGATTGTGTAATTGAAGGACAAATAATTGAGGGCTGAGAATGATGGAAATTTGCATGAATCACAGTGCTAAATTATGTCGGCGTTTTGAAACTTTACGGCAACCAGTCTGGCACTTACAGGTTCGCCTGCTTTGGGCCCATATATCAGTGATGGTCCTCGATTGGTCCTGGTATTCAGCTCCAACGAGAAAGTCTCCGATGGAGATGGTCAAATACCGCTTGGATTTCGAGCCAAAATTCAGTTCAAAACAGGTGAATTTTGAAATTCCACAAATTATGATTTGCAGAAATATTTATTCCCCAGTCATTGTTGCGTTCCGGTGAAGTAGTTAGTAGCGTACTATAGTCCAAACTAAGACATATAATCAGAAGTAGTACTGTATTTTGAAAGTGATATAAGATGTTTCTTGCATATTTGCCACTTCACAACTTTAAATCCAAAGAAAAAACTTTTACATACGTCTAATTCTCAAATATGTACAGTCCAGTGTTTTGCCGGGAAATATAAATTTACCGAATTTAAATCCATCTTCTGCGTACATTCACACCCCCTCCTCAAACCCCCTCCCCCCCTTTTTCAAACTAGGTCCTCCTCCCTACACCTCGCCCCCAGTCAGCTGCCCCACCCATCCCCCTCACCCTCATCCATCCCCTTATCCTCAATCGTTCGACTGATTCAACTGACTGCGTTCTTTATCGATAACAATTAGTTGCGAGAAATCGTGAAAAAAACTTACCCCCTTCCAGAAATTTTTTCCTGAGCGGGATTTGTTATTTGCAAGGTGTGTTTTTGTGTATGTATGTATGTATGTTTGTTTGTGTTTTGATTTTATTCTTCGTTTTCAACTCAACAATTGGAGAATTCAAGAAGCCGAAATTTCTCAAAGACGTTCCCCGTCCAGGTGTGACCTCGAAAATTTAAAATAATTGGCCAACGCACGGGCTGCCCGTGCGAAGATGCGTTTTTTGCATAGCTTCCCGCAAATTTTTGTCGTTAACGGCACTGGTTTTTCCCGCACAGCTTCTAGCTAAAAGAATTTCAGACTGGCCGCAAGGACTGTCAGGAAACATCCCTTCAAAATTCCAGCTTTTTAGCTTCTCACGTTCCCGAGTTAGCAATTTACCCGAAAGAAACCTTCACGAGCCCATACGTAGGTACCACGCTTACCGCGGGCAGGGTTTGCGCTCGTTAATAACACTTGGACGGGGAACATCCGCCTAAGATTTCAGCTTTCTAGCTTCTCAGATCCCCGAGTTATAAACTTATCCGTAAAGAACTTTGGCTGGCCCGTACGCGGATACCACGCGAGTAATGGCGTCCATTTTGGAGATTGGGCCCGTACGTGCATGTAGATTAAGTTCCCAGAGTTTCAGCCTTGCAGCTTTTATAGGTCTTGAGATGAAAAATCGGGATAGACGCATACACAGACACACAGACAACCCCTCGTCAACATAGCTGCAAAAAACGCATAATAAGCCTTTAAGTGTGGAGATTCAAAGGAAAACAGGCTGAAACTGTTACTTCAAAGGAAAACGGAGTTGTATGTGTTAACAAAATGGCATTAGTTTCTAGTTTCCTTTTTTTAACTTCTGCATTTGGATGCACCCTAAACATACCTGTAATATGGGTTACTGACGTCTCTAAGATGCGTTCTATTTTGCAATGAACATTTTGCAAGGTGCTGCCATTAACAAATGTTTAGATTTCGGTGTACCCGGAAAGCCTATTGGCGATTCGAACAAATGTGTGTTCATGTTCACGAAGCCTCAGGGATGGTTCAACAGTCCGCGATATCCTGCAAATGTATGATTTTTCTCGGTGGCTGTTCTGTCTGTTTTCACTTATTTGCCTATGGTTCAGGCACGTGTCTCTTATTATCGCACTTACGAATGTCAGCGTACTGTCTGTTTTTTCAGTATCCGCTTGATACAAACTGCACTTACATTATCAAGGCTAATCCGGATGAGCAGATCCAGGTGTACTTTGAACAGTTCGCGCTTCACATCGACGAACATCCCTCCGCCGAAACTAGGTAACTCGGTGTTTTTCCCATAGAAATACTGTACATTAGTATTAAAATGCAGTTCTTGTCTAAAAGTGCCACGATAGTCCCAAAATAAGCCTATTCCTAACATAAGCTTTGTCAAAGCGTCTGACAGACTTTTTGCATTTGCTGAGAGCAATCGCCAATTATGTTACAGATGCTCGGATTTTCTCGAAATATCAGACGTTTTTGTTAAAGATGGAGTCGAAACTTTGCAGCT